TTTCCATGTCAGTACTGCAGCACACGCACGTCACGAGGCAAATTTTTTTTCTTAAGATAAAGAACATTATTGATTACTGGCCTGCCCAGCCCTCACGTACATACTGCACGTCATCAACTCGTCTTTCCAAACTCTCAAGCTTTATTTATTTATTTATTTATTTATTCCTTGTATTATTCCTTACGTGACTCAGTCCATGTCACATGTTCCCAGTCAAGAATCAAGTGGTAATTTTTTCGATCTGTTAAGTTTCACATTTTTCATGGTTTACAGATTTATTTTTAAAAACCAAATGCTGACAAGATTCCCCACTAATTTCTTCTCTTTCATATTAATTTTTAACGCTCAATAATGAAATTAAATGCAGTCTTTGTGTGGACAGGTAAATTGTTTTTATACACTTAAACTAAAATTACTGTATGTCAAAATATACATGTACTGAAAAATAAATCATTATTGGCGTCTAAAATCTATCATTTTGGAGTATTATGTATTCCATTCGGATTAAAATTCGGATTAAAATACTGTGGGCCCTTACAACATAGCATTAAATAGATGAAAGTAGTACTTACTGCAGGTTATCAGCAATAAACTGACAACAACAACAAGATGTAAGTGGTGTGATATTTATGTTTTGTTTTTAAGTGGTCAAAGTAATCCCCATTTTACCTGATATGAATGATTTTCTGCCTTCACGCACTGGCGACCTTTAAGAAAGGTTCCTTACAGTGGCCGAGAGAAATAATAAATATCTTATTGAGACGGTCACAGACGTGCATTAATACACTGTTTAAACCGGCAAAATTTGCCCTCTTCTTTATGCAGTACTTCGATTCTCGAGCCTGGCGAACAACATCCCCAGCTCTGTTAGGGCCACAGACGAACTGCTTTCAGCGGATATTTCTACGACAATGTTCACCATTTCTTCACAGTCAGAGTTTTTTTTCAAAAAGTACACAATAAAATGAACAAAAAATAATTAAAAAGATATCATCCTTAAGCTGGCCTATGGTAGTGTATACCCTGGTAACACGTTATCACAGTGAAGAGGTCTTTTTCTTCATCGCCGAGGCCATGGACAACATTAAGAATTTAGTCCATGTCGGTGTGACAGGAATGGTAGTAGTAGTCTGCTAGGAACCGTAGTCCGTACATTCGTCCCATATACTCCAATTAATCTTAACCTATACTTATCATATGGGAGCCTGGACTTCCATTCCTAGCACTACCATTCCTGTCACATTGGGGTAAAAGCAAGGCAGTAAACGAAATGCTGGAGGGTATTAAAGTTTATTTTTTATACGATAACTAGTATAGATGAAAACGAAAAAATACAGGTATAAAGATACGTACTCTTAGCTATTGCTCTAATTCGCTGTTGGATGTTTTAACAATCACTACACTGTAGTCAGCTGTTCAGTGAAGACATGGAAGACAAGTTTTATATACCCCAAAAAACATCAAACACAAGAGGGCACTGATGAAATGCTGCTATACAGATTCCTTAGGTAAACATAATACGGGTTCTAAAAAATATACTCCTAACTAGAAAATACACAATTTAAGTACTTGTACTCTGAAGGGATAGAATATGTTGTATTACGCCAACATACGCTAAACATATACAAAAATGTGACCTGTATATACACAAAATTAAAAAAAAAATTCTACCAGTAATTCATCTTTGATCTTTGAATAGTCTCCTGAGGAATTTCCTGCCCCAGAATTCATAACTTTAATACTTTTGCTTACAGAAAAGTCAACTCTTTATAAATTCATCCTTGATCTGTGAAAAGTGTCCTGAGCAACTGCCATTACTGAAAGTTCCTGTCCCAGAATTCATAACTTTAATACTATTTGCCAACAGAAAATTAATCTCTTTCACCAAGACACTGGAAAATATTTCCCAGACTATCTAGAGCAGGCTTTCCTCCTCTTATGATCTAGACAATGCAGACTGTATCTGTTTGTACTGAACATTATTCAAATTGAACACTTGTTGATTTCAAATTTTTGGCTACAATGCTCCACCTATATGTTGTTTCATGGAGTCCTCCTAGAGGGCGCTGCTGTAAAGTGGAGAGTGACCGCATACTTTAAGGTACCTGCCTCATGTTGAGATGGAAGGCAGAAGTTTTAAATACTTTTAAAACACTGGCAGTATACAGCTGGCAGTAAACCAATTAATTCACTTCTGCCAAATGCACTTACTCAGAAATACTCACTGAAATAGATCCATCAACTGAATTCATTTTGCCTCTTCATTTTGACTGTAGAAACCCTTCAGGCCCATAGTCAGCAATTTCAAAATCTACCAGGGGGTTGTTTTCTAGAAAGTGGACCTTTTACCTTGAAACTTTTGTGTACTTTGGTCAAATTTTACCCAAGTGGGACCTTTTTCCAGCAAAAAGAGCAGTTTGTTTGAACCCCCCAAACCCCTAGCCTACAGCTACTAGCCTGCTCTTTGTACTGTTCTCAATGTTATTTTATAGTTCATCATTTACAGCACATGTAACACTGAGAGATCTAAGTTCTAAGATCACCTCTCTCTCTGTATCTGTGGGAACTAAGCTGGTCCCTACAAGGAAATATGTCTATCTATTCAGTAAAGAGACGAGTGAACAGCATACAGATATCACAGCTGGGGAGACAGAACAGACACTTTTAACACGCTTCACTAAAGGTGGGTGGGGGTCTGACAATTTTTTTTGTCAATTGTACTAAGGTGTTCTTCTTTATTTCTGTTCCCAGAACTAGCTTGGCTCCACATCTTCAGTCTCTTTTCCACCATGCACCTAAAATATCAAGAGATATCAACATGATACGTTGGTCATTGCAAGCCACCATCATAATCTTTAAATCAGGATTATGTTTAAAACCATGCTATCTTTATATTTCTTTATTTTTTATCCCATAATAATCTTTTCCTTCTGCCTCCTCCATAAGAAATTTCCCATAAAAACAAGTTAAACAATCTATACAAGTTAAATTACAACTAAAATGCTTTAAAAAGATGCTGTCACACTGAATGAGAGAGAGAGAGAGAGAGAGAGAGAGAGGGGGGGGGAGGGAGGTAGCGGTGTTCACTCACTAGGTATAGGCATACTGTTACAAGATTCTGGTTGCTGCAGGTTGTCAATGTTGCTGTGTTGGAAGTTCTTGGCCAGGGATGACGTGAGGTGACTGCCAAATAAAGAGGAAATAAAGTCGAGATAAAAACAATATTACATATTAACAATATCAGTTTAAAAGTCTTTATACCACTTGAACCCAATTTTTCCTTCAAGATCAGCAATACAATTTGCATTCATATTAAATATTTTCACAATTTCAATAAAAACCTATATCATTTCCTATAATACTAATATATTCAGGCTTTGTCATTGCTCTCAGATAATAATGCCAAACACTATTAAATTTATGTTTAATATTTTCATTGTAATTATAATCAACACTATAATAGTATTTATGCTTAATATTTTCACTATTATAATCAATCAATCATAAAACCAATATCCTTTCCTCTAAAACTAGTACACATGTATATTCAAGTCTCACCATTGCTCCTGGATATTGTCTCAACACTAACAAATTGTCAATCACCTTTTCAGGCCTCACACATCTCATACATAGCCCACACTCACACCCCAATTGCTTTAAGTCTGAGATTACAGTTCTTTTCCCTCTCCCCCTCTCACCTCTTCCACATCTCATAGAAACCCCCCACCCACACCCCTACTGCTTCAACCCTAAACTACCAGATACAGGTCTTCACCCCTAAGCCCCCCCCCTCACCTCTTCCAGGCCTCCTTGCTCTCCCACATCCTATAGAACCCCCTATCCCCCCCCCCCCTCACCTCTTCTAGGCCTCCTTGCTCTCCCACATCTCATAGAACCCCCTACCCCCCCTCACCTCTTCCAGGCCTCCTTGCTCTCCCACATCTCATAGAGAATAAACATGTCTGAGCCACTGTAGGTGAGCACACTGACACTGGAATAAATAATAAACAATTGTTTTAACAAAGTTCTGCCCAAATCACCTTTCCCGCATTAACTAACATACCTGAGCACATGTTGTTAATGAATATAAAGCTTAGAACATATTTCCAAGGAATTCTAAGTACTGCCATATGCAAGTGCTCAGGTAGTTATAACACAAAGCTTAAAATAAGCTGAATTACGTGCATTTGGCAGTGAAACTACTTAGAAATATTTACGTTATATTAAACAACAATATGTAAATTGTCTGAAAATGAGCTTTTTAGTAAAACGTATCACTCTTAAATACACAGTTTTGAGTTAAGACTTTAGGCATTAGCATACTTTAAACTGACTTTAGACAATTCTGACAAACTTCAGACATCTCTCTTCCTTCTACAGATACAATAAATCACTTAAAGCTGACTATAACAACTTCAGACTGACTTTAGACATCTCTCTTCCTTCTACAGATACAACAAATCACTTAAAGCTGACTATAACAACTTCAGACTGACTTTAGACATCGCTCATCCTCGTTGGTGCCCTCTATGTACATTCTGAGGCTCCCTCGGAAAGCTTTCATACGGTCTGGAGACACGGGAAACCTTCTGTGAACCAGCAGCATCTGTAATGATAATTTCAACAGTCTTGGTAGGATTTTGAACATTTTTGTCTTCAATTAATGAGGTTCTCATTCAAAACATGCAACATGAGAGGAAAATTTTCATGGAAATGCATGAAATGTGCAATATTAGTGTATGACAAACACATCTTTTGGTATGAAAGAAAAAATATTTTCCTTAGAGGTTAATTCAAATATCTGAATTTTATTTTTTAACTAAAAGCAAAATGAAAATATTGTTTGCTTTACAATTAATCCACAAGCTGAGTTTTACACTCCACATTACCATTTGTTCTTCTGGGACATCTTTCTGCTCTTCTTTTATTCCTTCAAAATTGACCTGAAGTTAAGAATCTCTGCTCATGAAGATATTCTACCCTCTTCCAGGGTGGCAGGTTATATAGGGTAAAATGGGAAAAGCCACAGAGGCAAATGACTGTCTGTTTAACTAGAGACATATCTGTGAATATCTGTGAAAACCCAATCTGTCGCCCTGGTAGAGGGTAAAGATATCACTGCTGACAATGTATATACAACGTCATGTCACAGGAATAACATATGTTTCACAAACCTGAGGTAGCAATATTTCTAAGCTTTCATTTTGTTAACAAAAGGGCATTTTTTTTCTTTTATGCTTTTACAACATTTCATCGTTTAATAAACTGTTAACTGTTCTTTTATTAATAATTTCATGTTTTTTCTGAGAAGTTTTCAGTGCGTACCCTATTCTCCAAGCGGTCTACCAATCCCCTCAGTCTCTCTATCTGCATGTTCAGAGGAGCACTGCCTGAAAATATAAAATAAGGCATCTCTAATTAAAACCTATATCATAGCCTTGGAATACTCTCTGCCATAGGTCATCATAATGATGATTTAAATTCTGTGAAAATCTTCTTCCATAAAAAAAAATACACAGTATAAGACAGAATATATATCTAGTGAAAACTCAAACTGCAACCCTGAGAACCCTGGTAAAAGGCATAGCTCTGGAACAAGACATGTGCCAAGCTTTTCACAAGGCAAAATGAAAAAAAAAAGACAAATTGACTCTAAATATGCTATCAACATGGAAATATCTCACCTCTGCTTAATTTAATCACTTAATCACCACAGATCTACAGCTGGCACTGTTCAGCTCAGGAATTAAGACCTCCTGACACATGTTATATATAATACTTACCTCCCTCTGAGCCTGTACTGTACTGAGAACTATACTGTCTTCTAGCTCTCCTGTCTAGTTAACTATCTATGATCACATGTTATATATAATACTTACCTCCCTCTGAGCCTGTACTGTCCTGAGAACTATACTGTCTTCTAGCTCTCCTGTCTAGTTAACTATCTATGATCACATGTTATATATAATACTTACCTCCCTCTGAGCCTGTACTGTCCTGAGAACTATACTGTCTTCTAGCTCTCCTGTCTAGTTAACTATCTATGATCACATGTTATATATAATACTTACCTCCCTCTGAGCCTGTACTGTCCTGAGAACTATACTGTCTTCTAGCTCTCCTGTCTAGTTAACTATCTATGATCACATGTTATATATAATACTTACCTCCCTCTGAGCCTGTACTGTCCTGAGAACTATACTGTCTTCTAGCTCTCCTGTCTAGTTAACTATCTATGATCACATGTTATATATAATACTTACCTCCCTCTGAGCCTGTACTGTCCTGAGAACTATACTGTCTTCTAGCTCTCCTGTCTAGTTAACTATCTATGATCACATGTTATATATAATACTTACCTCCCTCTGAGCCTGTACTGTCCTGAGAACTATACTGTCTTCTAGCTCTCCTGTCTAGTTAACTATCTATGATCACATGTTATATATAATACTTACCTCCCTCTGAGCCTGTACTGTCCTGAGAACTATACTGTCTTCTAGCTCTCCTGTCTAGTTAACTATCTATGATCACATGTTATATATAATACTTACCTCCCTCTGAGCCTGTACTGTCCTGAGAACTATACTGTCTTCTAGCTCTCCTGTCTAGTTAACTATCTATGATCACATGTTATATATAATACTTACCTCCCTCTGAGCCTGTACTGTCCTGAGAACTATACTGTCTTCTAGCTCTCCTGTCTAGTTAACTATCTATGATCACATGTTATATATAATACTTACCTCCCTCTGAGCCTGTACTGTCCTGAGAACTATACTGTCTTCTAGCTCTCCTGTCTAGTTAACTATCTATGATCACATGTTATATATAATACTTACCTCCCTCTGAGCCTGTACTGTCCTGAGAACTATACTGTCTTCTAGCTCTCCTGTCTAGTTAACTATCTATGATCACATGTTATATATAATACTTACCTCCCTCTGAGCCTGTACTGTCCTGAGAACTATACTGTCTTCTAGCTCTCCTGTCTAGTTAACTATCTATGATCACATGTTATATATAATACTTACCTCCCTCTGAGCCTGTACTGTCCTGAGAACTATACTGTCTTCTAGCTCTCCTGTCTAGTTAACTATCTATGATCACATGTTATATATAATACTTACCTCCCTCTGAGCCTGTACTGTCCTGAGAACTATACTGTCTTCTAGCTCTCCTGTCTAGTTAACTATCTATGATCACATGTTATATATAATACTTACCTCCCTCTGAGCCTGTACTGTCCTGAGAACTATACTGTCTTCTAGCTCTCCTGTCTAGTTAACTGTCTATGATCACATGTTATATATAATACTTACCTCCCTCTGAGCCTGTACTGTCCTGAGAACTATACTGTCTTCTAGCTCTCCTGTCTAGTTAACTATCTATGATCACATGTTATATATAATACTTACCTCCCTCTGAGCCTGTACTGTCCTGAGAACTATACTGTCTTCTAGCTCTCCTGTCTAGTTAACTATCTATGATCACATGTTATATATAATACTTACCTCCCTCTGAGCCTGTACTGTCCTGAGAACTATACTGTCTTCTAGCTCTCCTGTCTAGTTAACTGTCTATGATCACATGTTATATATAATACTTACCTCCCTCTGAGCCTGTACTGTACTGAGAACTATACTGTCTTCTAGCTCTACGGCCTAACCAGCCAGGTACAGCACCTGGAGTTTCTCCTTGGACATCTACAGAGACAGACGCTTGGCTGATGCCACTCCTGCAGGGTGAAAATATACAGAATATTTACCAAACACTGGATGCACATATAATGTATATTCAAAAAGCTATATATGTTTAAATTACACAGAGAACAGTAACACTTTCCTACCTGCAAATAATTCAACACTTTGTAATCCTTTTTTCGCAAGTTTTACCAACAAATGCATTAAAAAACTAGGAAAGGACTCTGAGAGCGCAGACCTTCGCCAAGGCAGCGATTTTTTATTATTGATTGATTATTGATCCGGATCACCACCAAAAACTAATTATCTCTTCCCTGGCCCACTTCTGACAGTTCCTGAAAATTTCATCAAAATCGGTCCATAACTTTTTAAGTTATGCTGATGACAGACAAACAAACAGACAAACAGAGGAGAAAACATAACCTCCTCGGCGAAGGTAAAAATCTTAGTTCTTAATCTCGCATCTCTTAAATGGCCTGTTCGTCAATGAAATCGCTGGCAGTTCTATGACCACAAGCTTTCTAACTATCTAACTCATGGTAGTATCTTACCTCTCCTTGATTGCCTTCTCATCAATGAAATCGCTGGCAGTCTCCACTGGTTTCTGGACAGCCACAAGCTGGTTCAGCATTTCTCGCATCAGGAAACGACTGACAAACTGCTCTATAAAGCTTGCCGTGGGGTATTGCTACAGGAGAGAAACAAAATGACTGTGCGTGTATTTGTTGTAACAGAGAGAGAGAGGTGAAACATACTTCACAGCAAACAATACAGACATCAGGTAGAATTCTGATAAACCATTTCAAGATACACACCAAGTAACTTTACACTTTTCTTTTCATGAAAAGAAAAAAAATCTCATCCGTCCTGTATATTCTATGCATAACACTACATATACAGTATACTGACAATAGCCCAACTAAATGCGATACTTCATCTTGACACAGTGTGTCATTTCAGTTATACTCAAGAAAAGAAGTTCTGAGCCCCCTGTTACCTGGGCTGACTGGTTAAGCGCCTTGGTCATGGAGTGATTGAGGTCCTCCAGAGCCCCAAACATCTCCTTAAAGGGTCCGAGGTGTTGGGAGAAATACGTACACAGCTCCCCCGTGTCCAGGTTACTGGGGGGAAAGAAATACCTTTAACTGAATTTCATTTGTTTTATTCTCATTTCTTACCCCACCTCCATTTTTTGTACAAGTATATTTCAGTATATATCATCAATATATATCACCTCACTTCTTTTTTCTTTAAAATTGGTTTTAAGAAAAACATTATTTCAAACATCTGCCAATTTATCCCTGGTTTGTCTCATACATGTAATTGTGATTTGTCTGAAATGCTAAGAGAGCATTCACATCGAGAAGAGCTGAGGTCTAGCAAGGCCGAGACCTAAATATGGCGGACCAACATGAAAAGACGACCGTGTAATCCTTTAATGGTCTCTCACTGACATTCAGTGACATTCATTGAGAGACCATTAAAGGATTATGTGGTCTTCCTTTCATGTAGGTCTGCCATATTTATGTCTCGGCCTTTCTAGACCTCGGCTCTTCTCGGTGTGAATGCTCTCTAAATCTATCTTGCCTATTATGAGCTAAAAAATAAACCTACTTTGTTTTATGTGTGTCAATGTCTCTGAACAAGTTTCCCAACTCTTCATCCGTTATCACTCCGTCAGCAAAAAAAGCCCTGAATTCCTCCAGTGAAAGTGCTCCATCATCTACAATAACAACAGTGAATGTGATTCATCATCTAAAAACTTTTACACTTTCATTTGTATTTTGAGGCTAGAAAATCATATCAAGCAATCCAGCAGGGTTTCTGCTGGCAGAATTGGGGGGGGGGGGGGGTATACATACTTTGATAAATCATAAACATGCGATAAGTCAAATGACCTTTTTTATTGGTAGCTGGATCTCAAATGTACTTGAAAACCCTGCCTTGTTATAATTACAATACGTAGAAAGATGCTTAAAAGAAGCAATTTCAAAATCGCTGTCCTTGCCTGAAGGGCTACCTTCGCTCAGATGTTTCTTTACTCACCATTTTTATCAGCTCTTCTAAACACCTGAAAAATACCAGCAATATTTCATTACAACTTGCTTTAGATTACCATCACAATTATATGCAATGACAAATGATTCAAGAACACACCCAATTACCACTCAGAGTGGCCGATTGGGGAGGGGGGGTGGGGCTAGGGGTCTCTTCAATTTCTGTAAAAAATCACACCAATGGCCCCCATCTTAAAATAAGAATTTTGACAGTAGAATCATAATTCTAAACCGTACCAAATAGCACCCTTCGCCCTCTAAAATACCAACATTTTTTTTCCGGCTCCAAAACCCATGCCAAAGGGGGAGGGGGGATTTGTATCTGCGGACCCCCCCCCCCCCCCTTCAAATAATCCTGGATCTGCCCCTTCACACAATTCACTTTTGGTACTTGTCTTATTTCTATAAAACCCTAATGGACCTGTGCCTTAATGGAAATCAATGTTTACATACTGTATACACACAGTGAGTCCTGGCAGCTGACACCATGCTTTCATTACGACTTCCCATGGTGATAAACTAATCAAAAGTTCAGCAGTGTCAGGGCATTGATGGGGGAGTTAAATGCATGGAGATATTTTGCAATATTGTCCAGAACTGGAGAATTTGTCATTCTTCAATTGTTAAAATTCCTGATTAAACTAAATCAAGTGTTAGGGTAGAGGAAATGACATCGTGAACACAAAATTATAAATAAATATTAAATAAAATAATAAAAGTATACTGTAAATACAATACAATTAAATTGACACACTGGCTTAATGGTATAAACACTAAAGCACTTACACAAAATAAAAATTCTAGCCACAGCACTTAAAAGCTGTTTACTGGACCCTCTCTTCATCATCTTCTTTACAACATTTTTTATTGACATATACATCGTCCCTAATTGGTCCAATAAAATCTTAAATTATCTTTTGTTTTACTATGATAAAAAACATGACCATTATACTATACAAACAAATATCTAAGGAGCGTGTATAAAAACATTACCTGCACTGGCAACATGGACTGAAAACAAAATAAATGCACTTACATCGAGAAAAATTGACATCCCCTTCTCTTGCTCCGCCATCTTGAAATCACGCGAGAAAATGCGAGGTTTGTTTCTGGGTCAAAGGGATACGGAAGTGTTAGTGTGTGTGTGTGTGTGTGTGTGTGTTAGTGTGTGTGTGAGTGTTAAACGGTAGAAGGTGTTACACAATTTTTGCTGCTTAAAAAATCATGTCAACGCGTATTATTCATCATTACATTCTAACAATAGGACACAATATGAATTTATTATTAACACCTTAATTATTATTAGACCTACCTCGGTCAATTAAGGAGGTTAATGTTTTTGTGTCCGTTAGTTTGTCTGTCTGTCTGTCTGTCTGTCTGTTAGCAACATTACAGAAATAGTTATGGACCGATTTTGATGAAATATTCAGGAACTGTGAGAAGTTGGCCAAGGAACAGATGATTAGTTTTTGGTGGTGATCAGGATCAATAATCAATCAATAAAAAAAAAAAAATCATTATAGAGTGAACATTTAAGGGTGAAACGGCATTGGGTGGAGACTTTGCTGCCTTCGCGGAGGTCTGGGCTCTCGGAGTGCTTTCCTAGTTATTACATGTATTATTATTATTATTATTATTATTATTATTATTATTATTATTATTAAAATATTAATACATAAATGTATGGACCCACCAGCCCTAAAGTCACATAAAGATAGATTGTGGCAGCACCGCAACTTTGTGAATTTTTATTTTAAATTTCTTAATGTTGAAAATATTTCTTTTCTTTTGGGATAATTTTTCGCATGTATAGCCTACTTTTTATAATATTAATATATAAAGCTAAAATTATAACCACGGCATATGTAACAGTTTTATGAATTCTGATTTTAAATTCTTAGTCTTGTAATTATTTTTTTAGGATAAATTCCACACATAATAGAACTGTTTATAATATTCCCATTCATATTTTTAGGTGAAGAAGTATAAACACACAAGGTGCTAAACAAAAATATATTTTCATTCAGCTATACATGTACAAAACATATCTCAGAAATGTAAATATTGAACATTTTCTTAAAAGTGATACACAATCAAAAATAAATAAATTAGTAATGACAATAAATAAACCCTGAATTTTGAGATATAGAAATAAATCGTGATATAGAATTTCAAACTTATTTACTATAGGCTTTAAATTATTTTTAAAGTAAACTTCAAACTCGAGTATCCTGATAGCAGTAGGGCCTACTTGTGCATGCAACAATCCCTTCATTTTAACAGAAGAAAATGGAAACAAACAGGGCCTACATATATAATTCTACACATAAGCAGTAATTAATGAATGCTGAAGCATGATTAACTTGGTTAAGTTTTCCAGTTTATGCAATTTGTTGGTAATTTATTTTTCAACGGTGCAAATAAAAATAAAAACTGTTCTTCATCTGCCTTGCTACCAGTTCTCACTGGCCATACACTTCCCCGGTATACAGGCCAACGTAATTCATCGTCTAACCCCGAAAAGGAACATGCTGCGTTACTGTCACGAATACAAAACGTCCAGTTGTGGTAACTTTTTACTCACTTTGAAAATTCAATCGTCACATCTGTTTTTGTTTCCTAATTTATCTCCTGCAAGTAGGCTATAAGGCTGTAAAAAGTATGATAACCTTCTGTAGTTCGCTTGTGACTGAATTTTATAAATTTGGGGAAAATACACCCTACTGATAGTGAAATAAGCATTAAATAAACTTTCTACATTCGTGATCCATAAATAAATATTATAAAAGAAATGTCAATAAATGGCGGATTTAGGGGGTGTCAGGTGGGGAAAGGGGGTCTGACCCCCCTCAAATTCTGAAAAAAATCACAGTAATATCCCCCTCTTGAAATTGGACCGCACCAAATGGCACCGTTCTCCCTCTAAATTACCAAAATTTATCGGGACCCTTTAGCGGCCCCCGAACCCCACGCAAGGGGAGGGGAGGTTAGGTTTGCATCTGTGGACCCCCCCCCCCCCCCTTCAAATAATCACGGATCCGCCCCTATTTGTGTGTGTGTGCGTGAGTTATCTATTTTTTAGGTGAAATGCACCTTTATTTTTGGTTTGGATGTACTGCAGTTCTGTGTACGTAGGTTTTGAATGAAACAAGTCCAAATAGCTTGGGCATATGTACAATCCCAGAAAATATGTAATATTTAGTTTCTTTTAGGGCATTACAAAAAGTGCATTGCTCGGGTTTTATCATGTTATATCTAAAGAGCATTCGTGAAATTAATTCTTTGTAAAATTCTGAATGGCAATGTGAATAGGTTATGATCATTTGTTTCTCGAAAGGGCAAAGCATAAACCAATTTCCATTTCTAAATTGGAAAATCAATGTTCAGCTCTTCCGTGCAATTGTCATGAGTGCTAAATGGTATCACGGTATTGCTTCTTTGCCTAAAATAAATTTCAGATAAAAGGTTTCGTTTATTTGTTTTCCGATCTTAAAAATACAACATTTTTATTCGATATTACTGTAAGGGCCTTGTGGTACCCTATTTTGGCAGTTTTCCAGGCAGAGGGTAAAGCACTGATGACGCCTTAATAGTCAAGAAAATTACAAGGTATTTTATTCATCACAGAAAACGTCCAGACTTTCACTGAACCAGTATCATCAATCAGCTCGTTAACGTAAAGAACTCCTTATTAAAACCAAGTTTTATAAAATACTTTTTATTGATTTTAACATGATCATTTCAGAAAACTATTTGGTTGCAGTAAATTGTTTGTCGAAGGATGGGACAGGTATCGAAAGAATGTGTTTTAAATTTCTTTGATGAAAATCACGTCAGTGACCTGGTTACGGTGTGCTTGGTCACCGTCAAGTGATCAGGACCCATCAAACACTTAAGCGAGTCATTTTAAATATCAAAACTCCATTAAAAGAATAAAAGTTTAGATTTGTTTTACACGGATAATGTAAAAATACCCAGGCACAAATCTAAATTGCCAAAATATTAAAACTCCTGAGTCCATTGATTGTAAAAGGAGAAACTCTGAGACTTGAGATGTTGCGCCAAGGTTTATTATGGCGAGAGGTGGTAAGTGTAATATCAGTGAGATATAGAACTACCAACTTTCCCCAAACGAGCTGGAAAAAGCATTCATATACAATACCCTGGTAAAAAATCGCCCAAAACAGAGTAGATGTACGATCAATATGGGATGCAAGGAGTGTCTAGCCAATATTATATCCAATGATCAGTACATCAAGGCATATGTGGGTTTAAAAAACTGCCAATTTTGATTTAAAAATCACTAAATGAAACCAAAAACTAAGTTTTATGAAATTCAGGCACGTTTTTTCATTTACTCACTCCAATATTTATCATTTTATTATTGTTGACCGTTGACTAGTTTCGTAAGATTTTTTCAAAGAATATGAAAAATTTTGGTAAATTAATACATGTATGTGTAATATAAATAGAAATAGTTTGAAAAAACAGTGCAGTTTTATTGAATCACTTTATTTATTAATCCTGAATTTTCCATGCAACATGAATCATTATATATATATATATGTATACGTTACGATATTAAACTAAAAATAAATACATAGATATTGACCAGTTCAAATTCAACAAGTGCAGATATTAAAAACATTGATCACATATATAGTTTCCTCGTGATGTCGACCACGGCCTCCTAACTAGTATAACTTTACAAACATGTATTACACATATATTCATATACTGATATAAAGTACATGTACCTGTATTTTAATTTAGATGTGTTTCGCCAAGTTACAGTATATGGATGCACATGTATAAATATTAGCTGCATTGGTTACCTCATGATATATCGATGCTGTCGACCACAGCATCTTAAAGGGATAATAACTCTTCGTATGAGGTCTATATTTCACAACAAAAACATTTTGAATAACTCACAGAAAAATAAGATATTCTTTTTACAGCAAAAACAGCAGTTATAGCTATTATTCAGATATCTGAGCTTGTCTTCAGACCACGTGACCTCCATTGATGGCTATACTCTGATATAATCTCTTAAGAGATTTTGACAAAAAAAAAAACAAACTTTTTAGAAAAAAAAAAACAGGGACTAACTTTGAATGGAAAATGGATTCATTAACCATTGGTTATTATGGGAAAATTGTTGTTTATTCCAGGAAAATTCATTTTTTGGCCGAAACGCAGAGTTATTATCCCTTTAACTTCCATTTTGTACACATATATGTTTCATAAATATACATTTAATATAAATTCACATAATTATATACATGTCATTTAATACTAGTTTCACCCAGTTACAATGTCACTAGATATATAAGGTATCATCTCGACATTTCTAAGTTCAGGGTAGACAACATACCAGAATATCTGACCATCTGGGGCCGTATCTCAACATGTCTTCTAAAACTACATATTCTTATGTATTATTATGGATTAATGTTTAACACACATTTGACAATACAATAACACAATTGAACAAATGAAATAAGCTGTTGAATTATGCCTGGTATCTTGAATATAGAATATTTGTAAATGAGTATTGCAGAAAACTTACAACTTGATAAATAAATAGAGTTTCATTTGTCAGTAGCTATAAAATAAAAACCAAAATCTACCAGCCAGCTGACCAAGTATACAGTTTTGAAATTTTTTAGGCATTTTACAGCGTGCTCTGGGACTGGGGTCAGTTATTTGTTTGGTTCAGTAATGTGCAGGGTTGAGGGGGGTCCAGCATAATATCTATATTTAAATAATTCTACATAAGTGTGTCATAGATATACTGACATTATATTTTGGTGATTGGAGATTTGCTAATTGTTTAACACAAATATTTATTTTTAATTACCGACCCGACATTTGAAAATAAGTACTTATCTGTTTTGTCTGACACACGAAAATTAAGCTATTCCTACTAGTACGTTAACTATTTTCAATACACTTTATAACATTTTGAATAACAAAATCTAATATTGTTCTTGAGCCGTTTAAATTAAGTGAAGTGTAATTAAGTGAAGAAAATCTTCACCACATAGTTGAGGATGAATATGAGATTGCAATTTTGACTTAGTAAGTGAATCGATTCTTAAGAAGTCACAGCTATAGGCCTCATGTGAAGATTGGGCAGTAGGTCAGGAAAAAATAACAAACCTGTATACCGACTGGAAAGTCCTGACAAATCTCGGGGTGATGCCACATGATATAGATAAGTAGAATCTGCACTACAGGTTTGAACAGGAAAGTTAATATAAGTCTTTGGGAGATATCACATGATATAGATATGTGGACGCACTAAGGGTTTGTTCTGGTACTTTTGTTTGGTACGAAGATTGAAAAAAGCATTGAATGACTTCCTATTTCTCGGAATGGCAAAACAGAGTGTTCATGTATGAGATCCATACATGTACAGAATAAGGTAGTGCAAATCCTTAAACCCAAGACGGAATGTACTGGTACAAATTAATAAATACAGGTGTCCCGTGTACGGCCCGTTCTGGGTGAACCATCCGTCCTGACCGATTGTACACGCAGCAGACGCGTGTATGAGCCGTTCCGTGAATGATCCGTCGTTATTCACCTGTACTGTTCGGCTAGTTCGTTTCCTACCTCATTATATATTTATTATAATGGGGATATTTCTAGGTAAAATTCATGTGTTAATTCATAATTTTGATAGAGAAACGGCGTCAAATTACAGTTCGACGTACGGCACACACTGATTAAAAATTATAATATATGACCTATCCCACTCTTTGTATTGTTCACATAAAAAGGAAATAAACACATAAAAAATGGCCCACTGACCATTTATGTGTCAATATAAATTGAAAAATCTTATCAAAATTTGTAAAGCTTGAATTTCCAATCAATAAAATTTAAGAATCGACTTGCTTGATTAAATTTGCCTTTAACTATCAGTTCAGTGGCAAGATATTTGCTCATATTCACAAGTACCTTACTTAATATTATCAATTTTATGAAGTGCACTTTAATATTAAGAGTCACCGTCATTTCGTGATCTGGCCCGAAATGTTCATGATAGACTTCAAGACATTTTTCATAATATGTCAGGGCCTCTGAATATTTGCCCATATCATGCAGGACACAGCCAATGTTGCGATATAGCAGGGCAGTATCAGGGTGTTTGTCACCAAGTATCTCTCTTCTTACGTCAAGAGCTTTTTCGTAGTATTTAAGTGCCTCTGCATGTTCACCTAACTCACTAAGTGCATGTCCTTTATTGCTGTATTCACTGACAGTGTCAGGATGTTTGAATCCAAGAACTATTTCTCTAGCTCCAAGACATTTATTATGGTACGTGAGTGCTTCTCTATTCTTACCCATGTAAGCAAGCGCCAGACCCATACGGCTATAAGTATTAGCAGTATTCGGATGATTGGGTCCAAGGACTTCCTCCCTGCCTTCAAGACATTTATGATAACATGCAACTGCGACTTCATAAATGCCCATATCAAGGAAGCAGCCACCAATGCCGTGGTATATGGCAGATGTTTCAGGGTGCTTTGGACCCATGAGCTCTGTCATGATGTCAAGGTTTTCAGAATAATATTTAAGTGCATCTTCTGGCTTACCAGTTTCCTTTAGTATTAGGCACATGTTTGTAATTGTCTTGACAGTCTCAATGTGCCGTGGCCCAAGTACATCTTTCAAGATTGCATGTGACTTCTTATAATATGCTAATGCGTCTGGATTTTTACCCATTTCGCTCAATGTGTTACCAAGATTGATATATATTTTGGCAGTTCGAGGATGTTTGGGGCCATGGATTTCTTCAAATACTGAAAGTGATTTCTTGTTATACTTAAGGGCTTCTCTATACTTCCCCATTAATCGATACACCTCACCAATATTGCTGTAAGCTGAAGCAGTATAAATGTTTTTAGAACCAAATGATGATTCTAAGACATCAATACTTTTCTGGTGGAAAGTAAATGCTTCTCTAAACCTACCCATTTCTTTTAGGATTGTGCCATGTGCGTCATATTTCATGGCTGTCTTAGGATGTTTGGGACCTAATACCCCCTCTAAGATTTCAATACATTTTTTTTGATTTGAAAGGGCTTCTGTATACTTGCCTATGGACCTAAGTGTATCAGCAATACCACTGTATGTGTCGGCAATTTCAGGATGGTTAGACCCAAGGTTTTCTTGCTGGACTTCAAGACATTTTTGCATATATGATATTGACTCAGTGTACTTACCCATTTCCATTAGGAAATTGCCCATGTTGCTGTAAACTGAAGCCATCTCGGGGTGACTAGATCCTAGTATCTTTGTCAGTTTTATTACACCTCTTTGATAAAAATTGTAGGCATCTTTGTATTTCCCCATTCCATACAGCACATTGCCAATGAACATATGGACAAGTCCATCAAAAGACCTGAACGGATCTTTTTGTATCAACGTTTTCAATGAGTTGAGTATTGAAAATGCTTCAGGGTATAAAAAAAGATTTTGAAATACACATGCAATGTGGAACAAATTAATGAATATGTCTGTGTCGCTTGGTTTGTTGTTGCTCAGCTGATCTGACAGCAAACCAGCAATAAGCCTAAGATGTGGCAGTATTTTTTGTGCTTTTGCGTACGTTTCTTTAGACGGAAGGGTATCAAATTCGGATAACAGAAGAGGAGTTTGTTTCATGTAATATTTGCAGTATGCATCTTGTATGTGAGCTATTTCATTTTGATCTTTCCTTGCTTGAAACTCCGCATAAGCTCTTAACAAGGGGTGGAGATCAAAGGAACTTAGGTCTGAACTGAGAAGGGATTTGTTGGAAAGACTGTCAAGGATTGATTCACATTTATCCTCATCTATTTTAAACATTTCTGAAACTTCTTCCAGAGAAAATGAAACTGGAAACATATGCAAAGCCCTAAATACTCTTTTTTCTTCAGTATTAAGTGTTTCATAAGACATATCCAGGCATGCCATCATTTCTTGAGAAGCTGGAAGATTTGCTACCTTAAGACTTTCAATAACATTTTTGTTTTTAATCCTATCTAATACTCTCTGCGCAGTTTTTTTCTTGAGTTGAACTGATAATAATTTCAGTGCAAGGGGGTTCCCCCCGCATTTCTCTGCTATTTCACTTAACACTACTGATTCACTATCAGTGGGTCTAGATGTTTTTCCTTCCCAAAGAATATCAATGGAAGGGGCCTTATCAAGGGGAGGTAAGTCTATGACAGCCATATAATGCGACATTTGACTGAATGCTTCACGACTGGTGCACAGTAAAGTGATATGCTTTGTTGAATTCAAAATATCTTGGATCAATTTGTGAAATTCTTGCAAATTTGACTTCATTACCTCATCATTGTTATCAAATATTATAACAGTGTCTGAAGTTAAACTAGACAGAGATTGTATGAATACATTTTGATAGTCACTGTATAAATCTTTCAGGGAACTTGTTGGGTGGTAGTGCTGGACTAAAGATAACTTGACAGATTCAAGGTTGGTGACTTGTCTCATATCAATGAACAACACCTTTTGCTCGCGATGCCCGACTTCGATGGCCACCGATGTCTTCCCAATGCCCCCCATCCCAGTTAGAAGAACAAGTCGGGTTTCACCTGCAATGTGCTGCTGTATTTGTTGTACCATGTCTTCACGGCCTTTAAGGTCAGCAAATTTTCCTGGTAGCTGTAGTGAGAGGAGCTGACACGGGGCAACTGAAAATAAAATATTAAAATATGATAATAAACAGGATTATAACTTTTTGAAATAATGACATTGGTAGCCTATCATCTACTTAGATTTTTTAATGATTTATGTAATATTACATAATCAAACGGTTCAAATAAACATTCATTCAAAAGCAAAATCATATTGTACTTATACCACACATTATCAGTGTCATTATTTCAAAATAATTGGTTCACAAATAATATCAAGATTTATTTCAATATCAAGGTATATAATGCTCGATCTTGACTGTATTCAAATATATGTATGCCTGATTGAGTTAACTTGTCAATGCATATACTAATAATGGAAGCATTGCATGTATACTCCCATAACAAAAAGTGTCACCCCTACCGCATTTATGTACATGGCTATAAGAGTACCCGTAGATTGAATAGCACCATTACATATAACTACCTTCGTGTAAATTGGGGGTGTTGTTGGTAGAACATGAACCTACCTAGCGTGACCACAACAGCAACTATATTTTGATATGTAGTTCCTAGATTAGTGGGATACATTATTTTCCAAAGCGGGAGACACAGGGAGGTTCAACCCGTCGAACTACATGTACCAGAAGTTAAGGTTGTTCTATGAGAACCATTTAGTGGATAAGGCAACATCATAACCGAACAGACACATGGGCAAGATTACCTGGGTAAAGCCGCCAGAAAGCCCGGGCTACACTGCGCTTGCAACCTTTTGGTAATTTTCGCGAGGCTATAAATCGTCTTCTACGGAGGAGTGCCGTTTCCACATTTTCGAGAAATAATATATGTATGTCGTATCGCAGAAGTGACAGTTAAACATTCTATATAGGTTAATTTCGCAGATCTACGTGGGGTTTCTGATATAAATTACCTAAACAGAACCTCCCTAAAGCATTTTGTAAAACATTCAGTAGTATTTTTAGACACGAAGTAGTATTTTTGGGCGGAGGGGGGGAAATTCCGACGGGACCACATTTAATACTATAAATACAAATTCACTAAAGGCAAAATAAACGTTATATATTCCAAGCAATTTACCTTTTAATACATGCAATCATCAAAACATTTCCAATATAATTCATTTAAACGACACCAGAAAGCAAATTAAACGAAAAATGAAATCAACCAATCTAGATCAATACCCCGTTGAGAATTTGTTGGATATCCTAAGAAATGAAAAGCTGATGGATAAAATCTCTTTACACCGTATGAGGAACGCCATCAAACGTTATTAATCTACATGTATTTAATCCCATGCACAGACGCGTGAGGTGCGTCCTACAACCCAGAGGAAACTGCAAAATATTAAACACGATGCGTTTTTTTTTTAACTACATGTATGGCTGGCTTATTTATTTGTTGCACAGGTAGTAAAGTGTTGTGAACAATATTTTTTAGAAGTTGAATAAATAACACTGGTTAATAACATGCTTTCTGTAGCACTTTACGCATTGTATAAGGGGTGACTTTTTGGTAGGGGAGTATAGTTAGCCTGAGTTGCCGTAGACCAGTAGGAACAAGCGCATTCAACACTAATTGAAATGTTGTATAGTTCAACTCCATAAAATACGTTTCTTAAAATTAAGAACCACTTTTTTTATGTTTATTTTTGCAAATGCTGTTTTAACATACCTTTAGCCTCCAGTGGCATAATAAGAAGCTTGTCGTAGTGATCGCTGGTATATATTGGTGACAGTGACAGCAGGACGTGCTTGAGGGCATTAAACTCTGTCTGAAATGATGTGTCAGTGAGGCCAAGACGATGTCCATGCGAGAGCTGATTGCGGTAGGTCTTCACTCTACCAATGTTGGCCTCTATGGAGGTGTCGGAAGCTGGTGGGTTTTCCCATTTAGCATGAGGGTTCAGATTGGTGATGTTTCTTAATAAAACAACTGCAAGTGTAATATCTAAGTCCTGTGTTGTCACAGTTGTTGAAGGGGTGCCAGAGGGGTACAGGAGTTTCATTTGACTCGAGTTTATTACCTTTCTATTTTTCAATAGCAGTAAGGTATGTTTGACTTGTAGATTGTCAAGTACGTCAAAAAGTTTGTCAGTTTTACTGGGATCAAACAGTCCCGGATAAGCTGCTTTTAGCTGAGTCCTGAGAACATCTCGAAGCACGTCCGTTGCATGCTCTAAGAGCAGGTGCATGCGGAAATAATTTTCTTTTTCATTCCGTGGTATTTCAAATGGAAATATCTGTGCTGTTGCCATGGTCCTTCTCCTGTGAAAATGAGGAAAATATGGAATCCAAGTATTTTATTAATAGTTTTAACATTTTAAACATTCCCCAAACTTAAAACCCAAAACAACTGTAACTTATCTATTTACCTTTGAGTTTCTTGATATACAGACATTGAATCAGAGTAATCAAAGTTGTAATGCCTGGTCTACTTATAATGTGATTAATGAGCATAAAACCGCTGTACCATGGAATATTGTATTGTTGGTCTTTTTGTGGAATTTGATGTTAATAAAATGATGCCAGGTGCATATCATTCCACAGTCATTAAGCTCCCCCAAAGTATTGGTTCAGTATGGGTGACATTTCTATTGTCCATTGTGTGTATGTACACTAATCATTAAAAAATTGATATAAATATGTAATAGTGAAAATAGCAATTTTATTGATACTATAAAATACACCGTGTAAGGTATTGTTGAAATAAAACATGATTAAAACTATTGAGGCGTGAAAGGTTTTACTCGCAGAACTAATTATTGTCAGATTTTACAGGAATGAAACAGGTTACATGCTTCTAAATAGAACTTTTGTTCATCACGACATGTACGTCTATCTAGAGCTTGTGTAATGAAACATTTTTTATATATGTAATGCTAACTTTTTACGGATAGATTATGACCAGTTAAATCGGTTTGGTTTGTGACGCTCGCTAACTGCATGATTTACGAGAAGTCACCAACTTCGGAAGCTTTCCCTAACTTGCATCAGTCTTCTTAGCTCTCCCAACCGTTTTCCCTCAATCTGATCTCTTGGATATTACTTCTGAACGTCTTTTTTTCCCCAAATTTCTTACCTTATGTGGATTCAATGTACCCTCTACCAGGGCCACAGTTATTATTGTGGACATTTTTGGCTGAAGCGACATCAGACCAAAATGACTGTCTATTTATCTAGATACATATCTGTGAATATCTGTTGAAAATCATTCTGTCGCCCTGGTAGAGGGTAGATTCAATGCTGCACTAATGTACGTTGCGGCACGGTACAATTTTTATTACTCAAATTGCACACGTCCACTTGCAATAATTACACGTAAGGTCATGCAACGAGTCGAGTGCACAAGCAAGCGACGCCATTAAAATTAATTACGAAGTCTGGAGGTTAACAGTGTCCAATCCTGAAGTGAAACAGGATGTCGACGACAGTAACATTATATTTCTTATCTAACATAAAATGCCTTATGCTCACCTTCACCTCATTGAACCTTTATTTACACTCATGATTTCATTATAATTTGTGTTGTTTACATTTAATATAAAAAACGATAATTTTCCCATACTTACCAACGGTTAATGAATCCGTTCCGACATTCAAAGTTAGTCTCTATTATCTTTAATTTTTTAAGAAACCTCTGAAATATCTCGTAAGATAACAGAAATTATAGCCATATTTGGAAGCCACGTAATCCGACTGCAAGCACAGATTCCAGAATAATTTCGATATATGCACTGCCTTGGTGGTAAAATGGAATTTAAAGGAAAAATGCAGTGTATTCAGAATACGTCAGTGCACCCTCTAAACTGCACACCAGGTAAAATCATATAACAAGAGCTTTAAGAGAGTTACACTGGCTCCCTGTTAGATCATGCATCCCTTATTCAGAATTTTTACTTTTATGCATGCAATTGTATATCAATTAGCACCTTTTTACGTACTGAAACCAAGCAATCATTTTGCTCTGAAACGTAAGCATTCGCTTAGTTATTGCTGATGCCGTGTAATGCCAGATTGTAATTCTTTGCCCAAATGAATGGAACATTCACCCAATGTGCGTAAAAACTGTATTGTCCGATAACCACATGAAAAAAAGATTTGTAATCATGACCGTGGGGCAGATAAAATGGTACCATACAATCATACCACGCTAGATTTGATTCCAAACACTTAAAGAGGGCATACATGTATAACTCAGTCGGCATAAACGTATTTTACTGTCTCGCACATATTGACTTATGTTCCTTGTATTGTGGCCAGGCTGCACAAACAACAACTGGCACGTTTCTTCAACGGGCGTCCCCCCCCCCTTAAATAGCCAGACGACGCTACCTGTTAAATTTAGACGGAGGGAAAACCGCTACAATAATGTTAAGCACATGTACGTATTTATGATATGCAAACCTTTTTTGTTCATGACCGAATGAAATTTAAATACTATTTTTATATCTTAATGAAATAAAACTATATGAAGAGGTCTTCTATCCGTTTCGAACTGTGAAAAAATGAGTGCGTTGTTGATGGCTTTCTTACTTATGTGTGTCCGTGACTACAGTAAGGTCAGTTGGCGCGTTCTAATCTTTAATGTCAAGTGAGCTTAAAATGAGGTTGGTTTATCAGCTGTATGTAGTTGTCTATATCTTTATCAATGGTTGCTATGTACTGTGTGAAAACATGAAATACTTTAATATCATTGTTGAAGATCCTGACTGATGCATGGACATACCCAGTATGCTTTCCTAGAGAATTGGTACCAAAATGTCGACCCACATTTATTGAATTATATGATTAAAAAATAGTAAATATAATAATAAAGCAATATAACAGTAACTGCTGAACTCAAAGTGGAGAAGTATGAAGAATATACTAACATGCAGATGTCGATAATTCAACGCTTACTGAAAGAGGAATATTAAAAGGACATACAAGGCCTCTGTTTATAACCGAGTTGATTGGCGAATTGAGTTACGGATCAAATATGGCGCCACCCACTTGAAAACTTGGTGTGTTATCGCTGCCTACCACGCAGGCTGTTACAGCAGGGTCAGAGCTATAAAAATATTTCATTCTCTTTCTAATATATTTGATCCTCATATCAAATACTCCACAGATCAACTTGGGCCTCGTTCACAACCAGTTGATCTGCAAACTAACTTGTCTTCGTATTAAATACGACGTGCCCATCTGAAAGCGTGCCAAGAATTATTCGCTCTGTCCCACTGAGACGGTGCGCATGGACGGTGGGAATCCATTCTGATATACAAGTGTTCGCAATATTTCATTCGCGGACGATTTACCTTGTTTCTGAACAAACTCAAAAAATGTAAGGCTACCAAATAAGATGGGGTGTGTTGGATTCGCACAACCGGTAATTGTGAAGATTGCCATTACAGGATTAGCTTCTTCAGATCAAAGACCTACAGGTATGCATGATATGCTGAATATACACTTCAAAATATCACAGTCCTTTAATAACTGTTGAAAAAAAAAACAAAACCCAAACACATTATTATAGCAAATACAATGTATGCTGAATTAGAAAATATATAAAGTACCTGTGCGTTTCCTGCTAGATGAAATCCGTTAGATAAAATGGCGCAGTGTTGATCATTGACTTTCTTATCTTCTCTGTGTTCAAAGCAGTGCAACAAGCAAGTTGTCACGTGATTTATAATAAATGTGTTTATTTTATACGATGATCAAGTTTTATAGATTTTTAAAATGTTTTTTAAAGAAAGTAGGGTACATTGTGTTCAAATGTTACTTCTCCTATTTTGTCTTAAATTTTGGAAATGGTCAGTGTGTTGTTGATGTTACTCTTGCATGTGTATGTGAGATTCTTTGACCTCAGTAAAGTCGGTTGGTGCGCTCTTATCTTTAATGCCAAGTGAGATTAAAATGAGGGCACTTTTTTTTGGGGGGGGGGGCTGTTTAAAACTGACAGAGAGTTGATATCAACTTTGTGTAGACAGAATATTTGTCCTTTCTATATATTCAAATATGTAAGACCTTGTATGCTGTGTTGGAGTCTTTTCACTAGTCCTAGTTGAATATGTACCATTTAGCTGCTAACAAAATAAGTAACAGAAATACCGAAGATGAAAATGTATATAGAAAACACGCATTGTAGTGTTATTTTCACTTAAAAATTAGCTGTTGAAATTACTGTTATATTATGCTCTGATGACCCTTGGCAGTCTATATACTACATGTATATTTGTTATGTTTATGACAGATTTTAAAAAGATAAAATGTACATTTCTTAATGAAATGCTATTATAAACGGAAATTAAATTAAACTGGCACAGAGTATTGGTATGTTAAGATTCATGTAATTTTTAAACCTGGTCCTGGTGGTCGCGTACTGCAACTTTTAGAATTCCATAGGTTAGAACCAATTTTGCTTATTAAAGTCCGAGTCCCAAACAATATCCCCGTAGAACATTGGTCAAAAAGATTGCCCCACCCCAAGCTTTAAGTGTTTTTATTTATAAATGATCACATCACAGGTGGTAATTGCTGTGAATGGTGAATGGTGATTTTCATTCCAGATACCATAACTAACATTATAAGTGGTAAAGAAAATACAAACTAGTGGCAAGGTAGCCATATTTAATACCATTTATTCACATTTATTACATGTACCATCTTGAAAATGATGCTCCACTGTTATTTCAACAGAGGTAAATAAATGCGCATGTACCCATTAAATTGAAGACTCCACCAAATTTACCGGATCAGCCGTTGCAGTCTTTATCGTGTCGTCACATTGACAGATTCGTGAAAGATTATGATAAAAATCTTATTTACAATTAATGAAACTTATTGTAGAAAAAAAAAATCAGAAATGTCCTACTTAAATAGTGTATTTATAACAAAACCATTTTCATTTTGAAAAATAAAATAATTAAAAATAATGAAATACCAACACTGAACCATATCTGGGTTATATGCAGGAATTACTGACATTAAGAAATGAACAAGATTCTTGGTTTTGATCCTCTTGATAATGACGTCACACTAGATTAACATAGTTATTGCCAGGCAACAAGAACGTCGCGTGTTCTATTTCTCTCTATTGAGATATCGATTAATGCAAAATGACGAACGATTATTGAACACGGTTTTAATCACAGTTCATTTGACTATCTCTTCTGTTGTTTGAGTGTTGTAACTGTAAATACACGTACTTTTAAAAAACTTTTTACCAGCTTACAATTTCTCAATTAACATCAAATTGTTCCTCGATTGAACTGAATCTCACCAGATTCGCCTATTCCCCAAATAGAAAATGTAACCTCCATTTCTTCTCTGATAACATGTTAACTCAGTCTGCATACATAGCGCACGCTGACGTACATGACCCTAGTCATTTGTAAGTGACCTCTGTCAATTTAGTTGGTCCGCTCTTATATTTAATGTTATGTGAGCTTGCAGTGAGGTCGGAATATCAGCCATTAATTCACTGAGGTAGCTATCAGCTGTATGTGATCTGCAAATATTTGGATTTTATTTATAAACACCCGAGAGTTGCGATAAGACTTCAAAACGTACTCCAATATTTATCGGTTTATTACACAATGTTGTGTTGGCTGTTAATCAGTGCTGTAAGAATTTTAAAAGGTGAAACATTTCAGAGACTGGATGACTTTAATTTAATCTTAGGTCGAGAAATAATTAGGTGTGACTTTTATGTGTGGCTTTTGTGCTAGCACGTTGTTTTCTTAATCTTAGAACTTCCATACAACATAAAACCGCAGGAGAAATAATAATATCTAATTAACAAAAATGACAAACTTTTCGACAATAATATGAAGTTTACTTCGTTTACATTTGTAATATATATGTACTAATACACAATTTATGTATGATGTCATGTAATATCACATCATAGTATGCGTTATCATAATAAATTAAGAACTACAACCACTGACGTTTCCACTGGCACTACACTACGGATTGAGGCCGTCTTCTGGGTTATTAAGTTTACACTGACGGGTATCTATTTTTTCTGTCATTAGACGGTCCACAAAGATAAATTAAAAAGCCGTCAGAAAAAGAAAAAAAAACTCAATCCACCCCTGGTTATCGACAATATGTGACACCTGTCACACATGCCGTAGTTTTACGGAAATTGCCGAAGGCTAAAAAATGCCTTCAAAATATAATTTTAACAGTTATAATCTAATTCAATCTACGGACACAATCTTCCCACTGCCCTAAGGTATTATTGACATTGTAGTTTGGGAGAAAAACGTGAAAACGAGACTTCGGCTAATCTGCCATTACTATAAAGATTGTAATACTAGGGTACATTTACCAAGCTAGCATTTATCAGTGCATTAATCATCTGCATACATCAACTGCATTGATTAAATGCAGTTTTCTCGTGAATTTTGCTCCCACAACACCTTAGCACTCATTTTGTGTACATACATGTATATAGTAATATCTTTACAAAGTATATACAAGTAATTCCAAACAGTTTTGACTCTATATACTTAATATTCATCACACATTTGACGTTACAATAACACAAGTGAACAAAGCAAATCGGCAGTGGAATTATGCCTGATAAAGGGTATTTATCAGAATGGGTAATGTTGGATAACATTAAAACTTGATAAACAAATACCGTTTCATTTGTCAATAGCAACAGAAAAATTAACTTTATTTACCAGCCAGCAGACCAAATATTGGTTGATAAATTTACTTAATCATCTCTTAAGCTATTGGCAAACGAAAATCATTTATTTTATAAAAAACGCACCAAATAAAACTGCTCAACCTTAAAACTTGATAAGAACACTTGGATATAAAAACAACGTGCGCTGGCAGATTCAGGATATACAGTTAGTAGCAGGTAGGAGACCCATAATGTTATATTGAACTGAATATACTGATTTGCAAAATATCTGGGACTTTTACAGTGCTTTGGTTGAAAAATCTGTTGTTTCTCCCCTTTTTGTAAGGGACTGATCGTGAGTCCGATATTTTCCCTTGGAGGGAAATTCTAAGGACGGCTAATCTGCATCTACCAGCGACATGGGATTTTAAAATACCACAGCATGGCAGTTCAGAATGACACAGTTCGTTTTTCACGACAACCTACAATTCTTTCCAAGAAGCCGTCAGCATTAATGAAACGTCCATCTTATATAATTTTACACACATGAACCCTAGCTAGATCTGGTGAAATTATGTCTCGGTGATTGTAGATTTACTAAAGTTTTAACACGTGTGTATAATTTTTTAACAATGACCTGAATTTTGAAACTTGCACTTATTATCTGTTTTGACTGACATACAAGGACTTGTCTACTGGTACGCAACCTATTTCAACCCACTTCATAACCCTCCAATAAAAAAAATACATTGTTCTTGAGGCGTTTGCGTTTAATACCTGTGAAATAAAATGAAGCAAATCTCCAGCACATAGTTGAGGATGAATGTGAAACTGCATTTTTGCCTTAGCAGATGTATTGATTCATGTGAGTTCACAGCTATATTTGAAGGTAAGAGTAGGTCAGGAAAAATGGAACTCTGTACCGGTATATAAACTGGAAAGTCCTGACAAATCTTGGGGTGATATCACATGATATAGATATGTGAATGCACTACGGGTTGTAATGGAAGCTTATGTCGGTAGGGATATTGAATGGAAATTGTGATACGTCTATTTGTCATATTGTGGCAAAAAAAGGGGTTCGTGTAATTGAGGGTCAGTCCTCCATAACTTACATACGGGTACATGTAATATAAGGCTAAGCATGGCGTATGCAAACCGTGGCCCTTAATTAGAGTGCAAGAAGCTCACTACTACCTTACAAAGAACATAAAAAGGGAAACATGAACACAAAGTTCTCATCCGTGATCTCGCCCCCATTCGTTTTATGGTGATCATCCCAAGAAGTGAAACCTGTCATTTTAATATTATGCAAGTGCCAATCAAACCTGGAAATTTTATTAAAATTTGTAATAAAGCTTGAAATTCCAACCAATAAAACTTAAAAATCGACTTGCTTGTCTAAATTTGCTTTTAACTATCGATTCAGTGGCAAGATATTTGCTCATATTCATCAGTACGTTGGTCAATATCAACATTTTTACAAAACAGACTGTAATATTCAGAGCCTTAGTTTTGCCATGGCTGATTCCAAAATGTTCTACATGAGCTTCGAGGGATTTCTGATAACAACCAAGTGCCTCAAAGTGCTTATCCATGCCAAAAAGTGCATTGCCAACACCCTGGTATGTCGAAGCAGTATCAGGGTGTTTTTCTCCAAGGAATGTTTTCTTGATTTCAAGAGATTTCTTAAAATATGTAAGTGCTTCTGAATACTTACCCATGGTACATAGTGCATTGCCAACACCCTGGTATGTCGAAGCAGTATCAGGGTGTTTCTCACCAAGGAATTCTTTCTTGATTTCAAGAGCTTTCTCATAATATGTAAGTGCATCAGCGTACTTACCCATTTCAAATAGCGCACTGCCAATATTGTTATATGTCCTAGCTGTATCAGTGTGCTTTTCACCAAGTATTTCTTTTTGGTCTTCCAGAGATTTCTTATAATAGCTATATGCCTCTGCGTACTTACCCATTCCACATAGTGCGTTGCCAATACATCCGTATGTCACAACAA